CTTCATTACTTCATAGTTCTATGTATTTTAATTTGCTAAGGCTACCCCAAAATTGCCAATACTATGTGTAAGAGATGGAGTACTGAGAAATTAGGTGGTTGATAAAGAAAGACCAAATTGCTTTATTTAAGGATCTAAATTAGTGAAAAGTAATATGTCCTAAGCATTCTAAAAACCTCACAGACCAGAACAGGCTTATTTCAGATCTATCTGGCTGAAACCTATTTAAAACAGACCAAGTTTTCCTGGATATCACTTCCTGGATGCCTGAACTGATTTGTGAATTACGGCATGTATCTTCATCACTTGATCTCTTCTTAAACAAAGCCATAGTTAATTAATAGGAACATGTCCAGGATCTGTCTCTTGGGCAACTGATACCACTCTGCACTCAATACAAACAGTCTAATCTGTTTCCAAGATCAGTAAGAGAGATAAGAGTCATGATGAGCTGAGTCTTATCTCACCGATTACCATGTCTTCATCAGTGGCCAATTTCAGATCTATCAGAAGCTACACTAAATAGAAACAATGGATGAGATTCTAGATCAGCTACTCACTCTACTTAAATACGCAGCATTTCCTGACCCGACCCTCTCAATCCTAGAATCCTAGAGTTGAAAGTGACCTAATGGGCCATCCAGTCCAACCCCCTGTCAAGAAGCAGGAAAATCACATTCAAAGCAACCCAGACAGATGGCCATGACTTACAACAGCTTCTGTGAATGACTATGGTCTGTTCTCCTGTCATTCAGGGCACATCAAACCACCATTTCTACCCCTTTCTCAACAGCGATCTCCAGTGTAGAGAGGAATTGAGACAGATATTCTGTTCTTGTACACCAGAGATCACTCATGAGAGGAGGGTAGCAACACCAGTTTGCTGCATCCTGGTCAATAGGAGAACAGACCCCCAGTGCTCACAGAGATGCTGCATGTTTGGTCAGGACTGTGGGCTTTTACCATCCTCACATATTTCCTACACTATTAAATGAGTAGGGATTGTGGAATATCAATTTGTTATAATTATATCTCTAGGATACACATTCATAACTGCATAACTCTTCATTTACTGTTCTTTGTTTCATCACCAATCATGTTCTCATCTTCTAGGATCAACTTAATCATTGGCCAGGATCATTTATTAGTTAATTTTTTTAAGTGATGACTTGCTTTTGATAGCTTTTCTTCAAATGCATTGCTTATGGCAGCAATGCTTACTAATTGAAAGAAATATAGCTTCCTTAACTACATAAATATATAGAAGCTACAGGAAAAAAATCCAGCATATTTAATTTGTAATAAGATGAGGTATCATATTCAAGGTTTCCATGGCCTGCAGTAGATACTTTTCTTTCTTTTTGAAGAGAAACACTTGCTAATCTGCTTAAAATAATAAAACTATACACACCTCGTAAAAAGGTTAGAATGAAGCAGACTATTCTATTGGCTGAATGTCAGAGATCTTCAGAAAGATTCAAATGTCTTCCAGCCACAATGCCCCACAAATTAAGGTAGGATGAAGGTGGTCCTAAATCATTTCCATCACTCTGAAATCTAGCAGGAATTTAGATTCAATACAATATCAGTTGATCTTGAGTTAGGTCTTAGTTAGATCTCTTCCATCTTCACCAGTTAGGATTGCACTCTTATTTTGCTTTCTAGTGTCATTACTGTCCTCTTTTCCTCTTAGCAGAAGGAATAATATCATCATCATCATCATCATCATCATCATCTCTATTAATAGTAGTAATAGAAGAAGAAATCATGCCATAGTTCTGGGTGCCATGTGAACTCCAACTTGTGCATTAAGTAGATTAAGATCTTCCAGGGAGGTTCTGCTCTTGGCCTCACCAGCCTCACAGGTGTAGCTGGTGGGGATGAGGGATAGGGCCTTCTTAGTGGAGGCCCCATGGCTGTGGAACTTCCTCTTGAGTGTGATCAGGTCGGTCCCCTCCCTCCTGACCTTTAGGACAGCTAAAGACCTGGCTGTGGAACCAAGCATTCGGCCCATCATAGAAATATTTAAAGTGAAAGTGAAAGTTGAAAGTGCAATGACCCAGGACTGTTTATGGACAATGGCTATGTCTTTGTGTGATATGGGATGTTATTTTATGTGATGTGTTTAATAATGTTTAATGTTTTATCAGGGGAGGGTCAACTTTGATGTTTTATACTGTTCTTTATCAATGGTATTGAAGTGTTGCCAACACTGTGTATCACCCTGAGTCCCCTTCAGAAGAGCAGTATATAAATACCACAAACAAACAAACAAAGTTCAAGAGTGGCTGTTGCTCTCCATCCACCCCTGTTGGGTGATCCAGCTTCATATGTCATCCTTTCTGCAGGTTTGTTCCTCATGCTAGTTGAAGTGAATGTGAGATGCCCTCATACATAGATGGGCTTTTGATATGTGTTCATGATACTTTCATAAGGCTGAAGGAATCATTACAATGAGACAAAAAGATTTTGGAAAATAACCATAAAATTGTTGTCATTAATGTCTCCCTCAAAGGCACACATCATTAACCAGCTGATTCTTTGTAGAATCTGGTGTTGACCTCCTCTCATAAACCAGGGCCCCAATGTTTTCATAAAAGTCTTCTCAAACATCTATAAAACTTTAGAAGTTTGCATCTCCAAAGAGGTTATCTCCATGGACACTGAATCTTCACAAGGATTAGGTTCAGATACAGTACGGTGCTCCATGAAGTCATGCCGGCCACATGACCTTGGAGGTGTCTACGGACAATGCCGGCTCTTTGGCTTAGAAATGATGAGCACCACACCCCAGAGTCGGACACAACTGGACTTAATGTCAGGGGAAAACCTTTACCTTTACCTACAGTAGAATACAGGTCTTTCTCAAATGAGAATTTCCCCTAAACCCTGTTTTTCACAAATGTTTCCCAAGCCTCCATCTTTCCAGATGTTCCTCCAGAACCCTTCCATATACCCAGGGATTTTATTTTTATAACTGTGGTTCTCAACCTGTGGGTCCCCAGGTGTTTTGGCCTATAACTCCCAGAAATCCCAGATTTCTGGGAGTTGATTTCTGGGAATTGATTATGATTTCTGGGAATTGAAGGCCAAAACATCTGGGACCCACAGGTTGAGAACCAATGTCTTATAGGTTCCTGTTCCAGGACATCTACACAATATGATCCATTTATCAGGCCAAAATTGGTGAGTAATGGCTCTATATTTGAGTCTACTTTGTCCTATCATCAATTATCATTAGCTTGGAGTTCAGAACTTCAAACTATTTTCATTTCAAAAAGAAAAAAATATTTTGATGGGATAATTTTCTTTTCCCTTTTTGAAAATAAATTATTTCATGGGGTAACTTTTTGACTTTTTGGGTTCCTTCTTCTGTTTCTCAGAGTAGATCAGCATACACAGTTGGAGGGTTTGATACCACTCTAACTGCCATGGCTCCACTCTATGGGGTTCTAGGAGCAACCATTTGCTCAAATACATTGAATTCTCTTCAAGGGAATGCCAGTGCTTGGGTATTTCTTAGACTACAGATCCCAGGAGATGGTAGGATAGGGGAATGGCAGTTAAAGTAGAATCAAACTATTGTAAATAGTGTAGAGTGGACCCTCAGGAAAAGAAGAAGAATACAGAGAGAGAGAGAGAGAGAGAGAGAGAGGCAGAACTAAAATCATATTTTAGGGATTTGGCAGCTACACCAGAAAACTGGCACTTAAGAAGCAAACTGTTTTTCCCTTAAAAGGGGAAACATAGTAGAAGAAATAACCAATCTCCATTTTGAACACATTAAAAGATAAGAAATGTCACATTATCCAAACATGTTCACCATTTGGAGAATAGCTCCTTGTAATGAGAAACACAGAAGCCCAGTTTATCTTTGTCTCTTCTTGAGTATCCTTCCTTAATGCTTTCCTTTAGCATCTCTATCCCTTAGTTAAATTAAAGGAATCCCTTTCCAGTATTGTGGCACAAGTCTGTTTTTGCTGAGGTGAACAAATTGAGCCCGGTATTTTGCACCCTATTTGCTGTTATTTGTCTTTAAATGCACTGTCATCATAATATCTACATGATATCAAGGTCATCCCCTCCCTTTATTATATGTTCCTTTTCAGAAGTGAATAGATTGACGTTGCTGTTATTTCTAGACAGCTACCCTTCTGTGTCCTTTCATATACACATCTTTAGAATTACTGCAGCATTGCAGTAATTTTCTTCTTCCCCAAAGGAGTTATACCACATAGATGTTCTGAGCACATAATTTTACGGCAGTACGTGTGTTTGCACCACTGCACTATTTCTCCCAGTGACTATATCGATGAGAGTTAACAATGTGTGGGGAATGGACAATGGGCTATATAAAGAAAACAGATCAATGAGGAGCCAATCAATGACACGCAGTTTGATCATGCCACTTGAAATCTATGAGCTTTCATCGGGAGCTCTCTTATTCCTCCCTGAAAGGCAATTTGATTGGAGTGAGCAGACAAAGATGAAGGCAGGGCCCTCTCTAGCTCCATCTATTAGAAGAACCTGGTCGTTTTGCTCAATCGTTTGTACAAGGCTGTTTTACTAGCAAATGACCAATCTATGTTGCACTTCTAAAGCTGCCACATGATGCTGAGAATTGCAAAGTAACATACCCAAATCATCACTGTTTTTGTGAAGGTGCAGTGGACAATGATTCACAAAATCATTCTAGTGGTTTGTGTGCCATTTAATTTGTTCCTCACTAAATGGCAGCAAACAATAGTATGAATAGATTCTGCCATTTTGGTGATTTCAGTCATGAACCATTTCCCAGATTATATATGATGGTCCTCTGTGCATTTAAACACAGCCCCAGAGTCTGCCAAAGCCAAGCCCTTTCAATCTATTTGCTTTTAAATGGGATAATAGGTGCTCTTTTAAGTACTTCTGAAAGACAACCGAACAGCAGGGAAACAGAGTTGCCGTATCTCCTTGTGCCTGTGTGTCACTTTGGTTTCCATTCTGTTTCCATTTACCTTTTCTGGAGCCGGGAACTGCAAATGGTTTACTTCCAAGGGCGTTATCAAAGGGACGGTCTGAAAGCCGTCCTCGTTGGACGGCTGCTGCTTGGTCTTGTCATTCAAATTGCTCCCCAGCTTCACCATCCTTAGACCTTACTTTCCAGACCTGAAAGCATATGGAGACAGCTGGTGTTAAAGGGCTGAAAAGAAAGCCAGGGTGGAGGGAAGTGGGAGGAGGGGGGAGATACAGCAATCAAGACCGATCTGTCACGCTGGGGTGCTTCAAATCGCAGCAGCCGCAGCTTAGTTGTCCTTGTTAGATTGCTGGTGGGAGAAAGGATGAGCATCTCGTGCCTTGTAACCCTTCCCTTCTGGACCTCATTTGAAAGAACAAAACACCACCCACACTTCTCCAACTGAGGGAATAGAAACCAAGCTTCCCCCCTCCTTTTTAAAAAAGATCCAGACATAAGAACCATCAAACTCTCAACCTCTGAGGTTGGGGGCAAAATGTCAGGAGAGAATGCTTCTAGAATATGGCCATACAGCCCGGAAAACTCAAAGCAACCCAGTGATTCTGGCCATGAAAGCCTTCGACAGCACATTGCCAGGAAAGATGCCTGCTATCTGGGTGGACCCCGCCTTGCTGCTTTGTTGTACAGCCTCACAAGGGGCTGTTTGGCTTTGTGCGTGGAAGGGACTCCTGTTGTGCTCCCTCTTAAACCCCAAGTGCCGCATTAAGCATGAATAATAACCCAACCTTTCCTGGGGTTGTTCTTAAGCAACACATAAGAGTCAGTTATCAAAAAATAAATGCTGCTCTGATCTAGGATGCCGTTCTATTCAGAATGAATCAGCCCTGTGTAACTGACACAACCTGGTCAGACCTAAGAGGAAAATAGGAGGGAAAGCGTTGCTGTTGTGATTATTTCAAGAAGCCGATTCCCTCCCTTTTTCTGTTCAGGGCTCATTAGTCTGTGTCAGTTATACAGCTCTGAAAGAGGCCACCATTTTTTTAAAAAACAGCAATAATAACACATTGCATTTGTCACCCCCTTCTCTTCACTCCTGGGTAAAATAATCACAGTTACTTGCAACCATTTCTACCCTCCTTTCCTATCAGGTCTGCTTAATGTGTCCATTGCTTAGAGTTGGGAGGGGCCACCAATAAATATCACAGTGTGTTGTCGAAGGATTTCATGGCTGGAATCACTGGGTTGCTGTGAGATTTCTGGGATGTGTGCCCATATTCCAGAAGCATTCTCTCCTGATGTTTTGCCTAAATCTATGGCAGGCATCCTCAGAGGCTGTGGTTTGTCATAAATGTGTGTCCATGTTCCAGAAGCATTCTCTCCTGACATTTCGCCCACATCTATGGCAGGCATCTACAGAGGTTGTGAAGTTTGTCATAGATTGTGTCCTTGTTCCAGAAGCATTCTCTCCTGACATTTCACCCATATCTATGGTAGGCATCCTCAGAGGTTATGAGGTTTGTCATAGATGTGTTTCCATGTTCCAGAAGCATTCTCTTCTGATGTTTTGCACACATCTATGGCAGGCATCCTCAGAGGCTGTCAGGTTTGTCATAGATGTGTGTCCTTTTTCCAGAAGCATTATCTCCTGACATTTCGCCCACATCTATGGCAGTCATCCTCAGAGGTTGTGAGGTTTGTCATAGATGTGTGTCTGTGTTCCAGAAGCATTCTCTCCTAATGTTTTGCCCACATCTATGGCAAACATCCTCGAGGGTTGTGAAGTTTGTCATAGATGTGTGTCTGTGTTCCAGAAGCATTCTCTCCTGATGTTTTGCCCACATCTATGGCAGACTTCCTCAGAGGTTGTGAGCTTTGTCATAGATGTGTGTCTGTGTTCCAGAAGCATTCTCTCCTGATGTTTTGCCTGCATCTATGGCAGGCATCCTCAGAGGTTGTGAGCTTTGTCATAGATGTGTGTCTGTGTTTCAGAAGCATTCTCTGCTGATGTTTCGCCCATATTTATAGCAGGCATCCTCAAAGGCTGTGAGRTTTGCCATAGATGTGGGCAAAACGTCAGGAGAGAATGCTTCTGGAACATGGACACACAACCTGGAAGGCACATAGCAAGCCAATTATCCCATTGGCAACCCTTTCCCTCCCCCCCCCCCACCCTCTGAGGTCTGATCAGTCGCATAAGTACAAAGAATCGCCCTTGCAACCATTTCCCATCCATCCCTCCCTCTCCTCCTTGGTGTGATCAGTGTGTGGGCTGCAAGGAGTTGGGAAGGGCCACAAAGGGAGGTGGGGGAGGCTCCCAGCCCGACACACACAGTCTCTCACACTCACACCCCCTTGCAGACCACGGTTTCCCAAGGACTTACTCGAGGCTACGGCGGGGCGAAGGCAGAGGCGCGGGAGGGATCGAGGGCGTAGCGGCGGAGGCGGCGCTGCTTTCCTCGGCTTTTCCCGGATGGTGCTGAAAGGACAGCGCTTGGCTCTTCTGCCGGCTGCTTCCAAATGCGAGTGAATCAGGGAGAGGGAGAGAGGGAGGAAAGGAAAGGAGGGCGGGAGAGAAGAGAGAGAGAGAGAGAAAGAGAGAGAGAGAGAGAGAGAGAGAGAGAGAGAGAGAGAGAAGCTCGATCCCGCGTCTGCGGCACAGGAGCGCTCCGGATCTGGGGCGGCGGTGGCGGCGCTGCTTGCGCGGGATCGGGCTCCCCCTGCCGGCGGCTAGAGGAAGCGACTGAGGCAACGGGCGAGCGAGGCCTTTAGCCACAGCGCCACCTGCAGCCCATTTGCGGAACCGCAGGCTGAGTTTCTCCTCTGACGCTTTTGCCTCGATGGGGCACCTGCTGCAAAAAGAAACGGGCACAGCTTTGACAAATGGCGAAACAGAACCTTTGCAGGGGAAAGCCTTATTGGAGTCTTCCCTGGAGCTCCCTGTTCCCCTTGGATTAATGAAAGGCTGAAGAAGAGTGATCGATTCTTAATTCACTTGAGCCTGATTGGGAGCGATAAGGAAGCCAGAGCCCATTTTCAACAACTCTCAGGGGAGATGGGATCTCCTGGAAAACAATCAATACTTTTTAAGAAATGCAGCATTTATCCTTTTTTAAGAAAAATGTTATTCAAGAAAATAAGATAAAACAAGCAAATATTTTTGGATGTAACACTATTTATCAGATCAGTTGTAATGTATTTGAAAAACACAAAGTTTAAAAACTTGGCATTATATTAAGTGTTATTTGACAAGTAGCTGGTGTTGGTGTTGCTATAAAGAGGTCGTCCATTGTGCATATGACAGGGCTCAGACTGCATTGTAATAATAATAATAATAATAATAATAATAATAATAATAATAGGTGATTTGTGGTTTGCTCTTCTCCACACTCGCATGTTGTGGACTCCACTTTGTAGCCCCATTTCTTAAGGTTGGCTCTGCATCTTGTGGTGCCAGAGTGCGGCCTGTTCGGTGCCTTCCAAGTCTCCCAGTCTTCTGTGTGCCCAAGAGGGAGTCTCTCATTTGGTATCAGCCATGGCTTGAGGTTCCAGGTTTTTGCCTGCCACTTTTGGACTCTCTCTTGCTAAGGTCTTCCTGCGAGTATCTCTGTAGATCTTAGAAAACTAAAGCTGTATGTAACACTAAAACTATGCAGCCGTGTTTTATCTGTTACTACAACACTGAAAATATGAAACAGAATAATACAAATACAAATGAAATGCACATACACACATACACAAAAAACCCCACACCTTCAAATTTCCCATTCTATATCTTCTATATCTGAAGGTTTTAATCTAATATTATTTATTTATTTATTTATTTATTTATTTACTTCATTTGTTGACCGCCGCTCTCAGCCCTGGGGCGACTCGCGGCGGTGTACAACATGTAAAAACAGCATACAAAAACATACAATATCAACAACCAAATTACACATTAATCTAAATCACATTAATAGGTCCGCGCCATCACAACATAGAATCATAGCCAATCTCATAATCCATAGTCCGTTCCAAATGTCATTACCAGATTCGTGTGGGTCTCAATTAAATGCCTTCTCGAATAGCCAGGTCTTTAGGCTCTTACGAAAAGCCATAAGGGAGGGTGCCTGTCTGATGTCAACAGGGAGGGCGTTCCACAGCCGGGGGGCCACCACTGAGAAGGCCCTCTCTCTCGTCCCCGCCAGACGTGCCTGTGAGGCGGGCGGGATCGAGAGAAGGGCCTCCCCGGATGATCTCAAGGCCCTCGTGGGCTCATAGGCCGAGATGCGGTCAGAGAGGTATTTTGGGCCGGAACCGTTTAGGGCTTTGTAGGCCAATACCAGCACCTTAAATTGGGCCCGGTAGCAGATCGGCAGCCAGTGGAGCTGGGACAACAAGGGCGTTGTGTGCTCCCTGCGTCCCGCTCCCGTTAGTAACATGGCTGCCGCGCGCTGGACTAGCTGAAGCTTCCGGGCCGTCTTCAAGGGCAGCCCCACGTAGAGAGCGTTGCAGTAGTCAAGACGGGATGTGACCAGAGCATGTACCACCGTGGCCAAGTCAGACTTCCCAAGATACGGGCGCAGCTGGCGCACGAGCCGAAGCTGTGCAAATGCTCCCCTGGTCACCCCTGAAACCTGGGGATCCAGGCTCAAAGATGAATCCAGGGTCACACCCAAGCTGCGAACCTGCGCCTTCAAGGGGAGTGCGACCCCGTCCAGCACAGGCTGTAACCCTGTACCCTGTTCGGCCTTGCGACTGACCAGGAGTACCTCTGTCTTGTCTGGATTTAATTTCAGTTTGTTCGCCCTCATCCAGACCATTACAGCGGCCAGGCACCGGTTCAGGACCTCGACAGCCCCCTTAGTAGCAGGTGGAAAGGAGTGACAGAGTTGGACATCATCTGCGTACAGATGACACCGCACCCCGAAACTCCGGATGATCTCACCCAGCGGCTTCATGTAGATATTAAACAGCATGGGGGACAATATTGAGCCCTGTGGAACCCCACAAGTCAAAGGCTGTGGTGTTGAACAGCAGTCCCCCAATAACACCTTCTGGGTACGACCCTCCAGAAATGACTGGAGCCACTGCAGAGCAGTGCCCCCAAGACCCATTTCCGCAAGGCGCCCCAGAAGGATACCGTGGTCGACGGTATCGAAGGCCGCTGAGAGGTCCAGGAGCACCAACAGGGACACACTCCCCCTGTCTAGCTCCCGGCGCAGATCATCCACTAAGGCGACCAAGGCTGTCTCGGTACCATGTCCCGGTCTGAAACCAGACTGTGCCGGATCTAGATAATCCGTGTCTACCAAGAATGCCTGGAGTTGTGAGGCCACCACACGTTCCATGACTTTGCCCAAAAAGGGGAGATTGGAAACAGGCCGAAAGTTGTCGAATTTAGTGGGGTCCAATGATGGTTTCTTCAACAGCGGTTTTATAATTGCTTGTTTTAAGCACGCTGGAATATTGCCTTCCCGAAGGGAGGCATTAACCACCACCGTTACCCACTCAGCCAATCCCCCTCTGGCCTCTTTCAGAAGCCAGGATGGGCAGGGGTCTAGGATGGACGTGGTAGGCCTCATTCCTCCAAGTATCTTGTCCACATCCTCGGGCTTCACAAACTGAAAAGAATCCATCAAAATAGGACAAGCAGGTGCTCGTGTCACATCCACAGAGACTGCATTTAACATGGCGTCCAGCTCAGAACGGATCAAAGCGACTTTGTCTGCAAAGAACCGAGCAAATGCTTCACAGCGCGTGACCGAATTGTCAGGGCTCCCGCCTGAAGTGGCGGGAGTTAAAAGACCTCTGACAATCCGAAACAACTCCGCCGGACGGTTCTTTGCAGACGCAATAGAAGCTGCAAAGAAAGTTTTCTTTGCGGCTTTTATTGCCGCGGCGTATGCCCTTAGAAAGGACACAAACCGTGTTCGATTTGACTCGCTTGGGGATCCGAACGCCACACGCTCTCCAGTTCCCTCTTCCTTCGCTTCATCACTGCCAGCTCCTCAGTAAACCAAGGAGCTGGTTTAGCTCGGCTACTTGAGAGGGGACGTTCCGGAGCGATCGTGTCAATTGCCCTGGTCATCTCCCCATTCCAGAGAGCGACCAAGGCCTCGACATGGTCACCTACCGCGGAGGCGGGAAAATCCCCAAGAGCCGTCAGGAATCCATTCGGATCCATAAGCCTCCTGGGGCGGACCATCTTAATGGGTCCTCCACCCTTGCAGAGGTTAGGGGGCGCAGTGAGCCTAAATCTGATCAGGAAGTGGTCAGTCCATGGCAACGGAGAGATAGACAACTCCTCCACACCGCCACCCTGCTCCCATCCCTGACAGAAAACCAAGTCCAATGTATGTCCAGCACAGTGGGTGGGGCCAGATATTTGTTGGGACAGCCCCATGGTTGCCATGGCAGACATGAAGTCCTGAGCCGCTCCAGTGAGGGTCGCCTCGGCGTGGATATTGAAGTCTCCCAGCACAAGAAGCCGTGAAGACTCCAACGCCAGGCTCGAGACTACCCCCGCTAGCTCAGGTAGGGAGACTGTAGTGCAGCGAGGTGGACGGTACACTAACAGAATCCCTATTCTGTCCCGGTCACCCACCCTTAGATAGACACCTTCAAAATTTGTGGTCTGCGGGATGGGGCTCCTGGTCAGATGGATGGAATCTCTATAGACCACTGCAACCCCGCCTCCCCGTCCTCCGGATCTCGGTTTAAATTATATTGTCATCCTCTCGATTAAATAGTGATGAGTAGAGACATCACACTGGCAACAAAGATCCACATAGTTAAAGCAATGGTATTCCCCATAGTAACCTATGGATGTGAGAGCTGGACCATGAGGAAGTCTGAGTGAAGGAAGATAGCTTTTGAACTGTGGTGTTGGCGGAAAGTTCTGAGAGTGCTTTGAACCACTAGAAGATCAAACCAGTCCATACTCCAGGAAATAAAGCTCGACTGTTGGAGGGAAGGATAGTAGAGGCAAAGTTGAAGTACTTTGGCCACAGCATGAGAAAAAAGGAAAGCTTAGAGAAGACAATTATGCTGGGGGAAAAGGAAGGAAAAAGGAAGAGGGGCCAACCAAGGGCAAGATGGAGGGATGTTATTCTTGAAGTGACTGGCTTGACTCTGAAGGAGCTGGGGGTGGTGACAGTCAACAGGGAGCTCTGATGAGGGCTAGTCCATGAGTCAGAAGCGTCTGAAGGAATAAACAACAACAAAATTGTCATGCTTCTACTATACTGCATGTTTGAGGGATGAATGTGGTTATAATGGCACATATTTGTTAAGGAAACTCTGAATACAAGGGGGAAGGGTCTTGCTTAATTGCTTCTGGCTTCCTTCCAAGTGAGCAGGTTTAGGATCAGAGCATGAGATGCCGAGTATAGCTTGCCTGCAAAATAAGATAAGGACTCCCTTTCAGCCTCGCAGTGGAAAAGTCAATAATGTATCCAGTGCTATAGACATAAAGATGTCAAAGATTATATTTGCTCAGACTTAATCGCTCTTTCCAGCTATTCATCCGTCTTGCCGGACCACACTGCAGCTTAACCCCAAGTTCTGCAGTGTTTAATCAGTCAATAACACAGCTACCAATGTGACAGAACATGTAAAAATGGATCTGGACCTCAGTGTTGATTCCCAGAGGGCAAAACTGTGACAAACAAAGTAGTCCCCAGAACATTAAAAAGAAAGAGCAGGGAAGATT